TTGCGAGCAGAACGGCGTAAAGCTGAATTTAATACTGCAGTGAAACGCTCGGATCCAACAACCAACCACGCTCCGGAGGGGAGCAGAACGCAGAACATGGAATTTCACAGGGAATTTCACAGGGAATTTCACAGGGAATTTCATTTCACACGGAATTTCGCAGGGAATTTCATTTCACGTGGAATTAATTTCGCAGGGAATTTCATTTCACACGGAATCAAAGCTCCCTGAAGCGCCCCAGAGCTCATCAGATCCCCCAGGGATAAATTCCAGGCTGGGAATTCCCATCCCACAGGGATCACCCACCCGACAAATGCAAGAATCTCCTCCTGACTGGATTTTCCATTTTTTTTTTTTTAATTATTATTATTTTTTTCCCCCAAGGATGAATGATGTTCCATCCCTTTGGGAATTCCTGCCTCTCATCCCCAGGGATTTGTTCCTGTGGGAATTCCCAGTGCTCCTCTGTTTTTTTGAGGACACATTTTTGATCCAGAGCTCCAATAAAAAAAACCAAACTTTTCCCTGGGGGGGAAAAAAAAAAAAATCACTTCAAAAGCGCCCTTGGTGTATTTCTCCTCACAATTCATGGAATTTTGTTGGGTTTTTTTCCCCCTTTCTTCTACAACCTGAAATTCCAGCTGATTCCAACAGGGAATTCCAACTGGCTGCAAACTTCCCCAAAAGCTTAAAAACCGCAGAAATACTCTGAGTATTTCTCATTTCTCTCCAATGGTCCAGAGGGCAAAGGGTTTTAATTTTAACCTCCTTGGAAAATTGGAAAATTCCATTTTTTTTTTTTTTTTTCCCCTCGGAATTCCAGACTGGAGCACGAGCAGAGCCCAGGGGTGGAATTTCTCATTTTAAACCCAGCACAGGAAAAATTCTGGATTTATTTTAATCCCTAACGAGCAGATCCCAACTTTCTTCACCAACAGGGAAGTTCAGGCTCTTGGAACTCTGGAAATAAGGGAAAAATTCCCTAAAATTTGGAATCAGTGCCTGTCAGTTCTCTGGGGTATCTGAACAGCAACTTTACAACAAACCTGGAACAGATTTTTGAACTCCTGCCCTTGCTTAGAGTTGAATTTTGGCCAAAATTTTCCAATTTTCTTACTCCTATTGCCTTTTCTTTTCTTTTTTTTTTTTTTTTTTTTTTTTTTTTTTTTTTTTTTTCTTTGAAAACAGAGCAGGAATAAAAAAACCACCTTATCCCTGCGGGTGCTTTGAAAAAAAAAAAATTAAAAAAAAATTAAAAAAAATTCCAGCACTTCCCAGGGCTCCAGAAAAAAAAAAAAATTAAAAAAAAGAGAAACTTTTCCCATTCCCAACTTTCCCCCAAGCTGATCCTTAAAGGAACAATCCCTTGGCACTGCCTGCTCTGCATGCATTTAATAGCACAGCCACGCTCATTTTACAGCTTTTTTTTT